TGACCATATTGGATACTATTTTCTACACGCTTTGAAGATACAGGAATGCTCGCCCCTTGGTCGGGCCCCACTTCCACGACACGAGTTGGGTGCATGTAGACAGTGCGCTCAGGAAAACCAGGATTATCCGTAAATCCGGAGGACAACCAGTGTTTTGCTTGGATCACCATGAGCAGCGACGACAGCAAGAGCGCTCCTGTGGCGGCGCCGGCCATGGACGCCAAGGCCATGAAGGTCGCCAAGCGCGTCAAGAAGCTCCAGAAAGCGTCGACACCTATCGCGCCCGTGAGGTACAAGCGTCGTATCGCAGCTGGCGCTTCAATGCTCTCGATAGCAAGCTACCGGCGTGGCTTACGTCCGACGTCGACCTGTTTGACTTTGATTGTAACCTAACGCACCCCGAGTTCGAAGGCCAGGCGCCCGCGCTCATTGCCGAGGCCAAGGAGGTCCGCGTCACGCAGATGCTCGTGCCCGGTGCGACGCTCGAGGAGAGCCGGCAGTGCTTGGACCTCGCACGGCTGTACCCAACGGTTTGTCGATCGACAATTCCTTCTCCCTTGACAAGCTTTGGTCGCAGGTACTCTTTCCGACGGCCGGCGTGCACCCGTACAACGCCACGTCGGCGTTCGACCCGGCCGCTTTTGCGATGCTCTCGGAGCTCGCCAAGCAGCCCGAGATGGTCGCTGTCGGCGAGTGCGGCCTCGACTACTCACCGGGTTTTCCGTCGCCTGAGTTGCAGCTTGAGTGGTTCCTGCCGCAACTCGACCTCGCGTGTGACCTGCAAAAGCCGCTCTTTCTCCACGAACGCCTTGCGCACGAGCCGTTTGTGGCGGCACTGACGGAGCGCGCCGCCAAGCTGCCGCCGGCCGTCGTGCACTGCTTTACGGGCACGGCCGCGGAAGCTGCGACGTACGTCAGCATGGGCCTCTACATTGGCGTCACGGGGTTCATTTGCAAGTCCCACGGCGCGACCCTCCAGTCGCTTCTCCGCGACGGCGTCGTGCCGCTGGACCGGCTCGTGGTCGAGACGGATGCGCCGTACATGGGCTTTCCGCACTGCCGCAAGCTCGCAGCCGCGCACCCCAAGAAGCAGTATCCGAACGTCGCGACCGCGCTGCCCAGCGTCGTCGAGGCGCTCGCCGAGTGCTTGGGCCTCCCGGCCAAGGACGTTGCGGCGGCCACGACGTACAACGCGCGCAAGTTTCTTCGCTTGCTCTAGAGGAAATGCATCATCATAGTACATCATCGATCACGTCGTCGTCGGTTGCGTGGAGACTCGTCCTGCACGAACTGTGGAGGACGTTCGAGACCATCGCTAAGAGGATGTTGTAGAATACCTGGTCTCAATTGAAGATCAGCTCACCCTTCTGCAACATCAGCTCCAGCCAGGCCTTCTCAACGATCAGCTCAAGCCTGCTCTGCTCGACGCAAGCTCCAACGACAGAGATGACACCATTTGAAGCGCTGGTCTCCGAATGTTCGCTTCAACTCAAGTTGCCATTTGAGGAGAATTTAGTCTCGTAAGGCTTTTGGCCCCCTCAAACCGCGAGTAGCCCGCAACATGCGCATAGGGTCCGGCTTGGGCATATATCCATTTCAGCGGATTTTCAATTCATTTCTAGCGGATCCTCTCTAGAAGCGTCTGGCAGAGACGCAGCAGTGGTTTTAACTTGTGGAGACGCAAACCCAATGCGATAGTTGGCAACAGAGAACGGCCTCGTAGCTGATGTATCAAGTGCTGCATAAATAGTATTGGAAATTCGCTCCATGCGTCGTTGGCGCAACGCAGCGGCGTGTGCATCGCTACAATGCAGTCTGTGGACGCTAGCTCTATCAGCTACAGCATCCCTCGCGATCTGTAGCCTTCTCCAACACGGTCCACTACGGTATCTTTATTCCATACGAGCAATGCACCCCTTTACAGCATTTGGAGCGATCGAGTCGCCGGTGAATGACCTTAACAACTCTATCCGTCGTCTCGCGCGTCATCACTTACTCGACCTTGATCGTCGTGTAGATCTTGCGCACGAAGAGGAGCGCGGACTGGAAGCCGATGAAGCCGAGGAGGATGAAGAAGCAGTACGCCATCATGAGCGAGTAGCCAAAGTAAAAGGCGGCTTGGAAGAACCCCGTCATCTCGGTCGCCGTCACAAAGTACCAGACGCTGTACGCGAGCACGAAGACGCCCGTGATGCCGCCCGACCAGAACGACCGCCACCACCACCGGTGGTCCTCGGCCGCGAGCTGGAAGTACGTCATCGTGATCGTCATAAACGCCGTGACGCAGACGAGCATTATGAACGCCAGAAAGAGGATGCCAAACAGCGTGTAGATCTGGTGGCCCCAAATCGCCGCAAAGATGTGGTGCAGCTCAATGTACACGGCGCTGTACGGAAGGCAGCCGGCCGCGACAACCATCGGGATCGGCCGGCGGTACCACGGCACCATCGGGATCTCGCGCTGGATCTTGTTGGTGCGGCACGGCGGCTTGTACGGCGCTGGCATACCCGCATCAGATGTCATGAACGAGTGCAAGAGTCAAGACAGCGTACCCGTTAGGTTGCGCCCGGCAATACCGCCCGTGATCGCGAGCGGCACGTTGACCAGGAGGAAGAGGCAGAGAAGAATCATGATCGTACCAAAGGGAAGCGCTGCGGACGAGTCGTTCCAGATCGCGACCGTATTGAGGAACGCGAAGATTGCGACGAGCGGCCCGGGGACGACGAGCCCACTCACGACGATGTTCCAGACCCAGCGCTGCCTACGACCCGAGATGACATCCATTTTTGTTTTGGAGGAGCAAGAGACTTGTACCCGCCGAGCTGCTTGTAGAGGCTTGCCGAGCGGTAGCCGCCGACACCGGCCGTGAGCGCGTAGGCAACGACGATGGCCGAGACGAGGCCGCCGCGCTTGCTCGGGTGGAAGACGTCGAGGAGCGAGAGGACGAGGACACCGAGAAGCATCGCAAAGAGCTGGGCGCCAGCGCCGACAAACGCGCAAAAGAGGACCAGGAACGGCGGGTTGCGGAAGACGTCGGCATGCACGAGCTTCCAGCCCGACTCGTCGTGGAGGTCGGCGCCGTCCTCGAGGTCCATGTAGCGCGACACGTCGCGTTTCAGAATGCGAAACATGATGATCGAGAGGAACGCGACGAGAAGCATGACGAGCACGAACGAGTTGATGATGCTGAGCCAGTGGATCTCGAGCACTTCGGGCAAGAGCGGGTCCTGCCATACGCGTTAGAACGATGCACTCTCGTCGTGGATCGTACCTTGAAGAGGCGGTCTTCGTACTTGCCCCACGACTGTTTCTGCCACTTGACCGAGTACGTAAACACAATGTCGGGCGACGCGCCCGTGAGCGGCTCGGCGAGGTGGTACTGGAACTCGTTCTCGTCCGTCTCGACCGAGTTGGTCATGGTCATGTTGATGCCAACAATCTAATGCTCGTTCGTGAGGCGGCGCATGGACCACGCCGAGTCGTACCAAATACTTGCGGACCGGCGACGTGACCTCGTCGTCGCCGTCGTAGCCGAGCGCCTTGTCGACGTCGTTGTACGCGATGTCAAAGTGGAGGTGCGTGTTGAGGTAGTAGTCGTACGACGACGGTGCGTACTTTTGGAGGTGCTGCAAGTGCTGCTGGAGGTAGTTGCCACCCTTGACGCGCTGGACGGCCTCGCCCACTTGGCCCGAGACGCGAATGTCGTCGACGTACATTTCAAAGACATAGTCTTCCTCGACAGCGTCCGTAAAGGCCTTTTGCACGTCCGGCGTAAACGGGACCTTGCACAGCTCGTTGTACGTCACGTCGACGCCAAAGAAGATGCGGTAGTCGGTCACGACCTTCCGGCTGCCCGTGAGGAGCTCGCCGAGGTCGTGGTCGTCCCATTGCCGCTCCTTCGGCTTGCAGAACGGCAGCTTGTAGTAGTGGTACGTCTCGGTCGGGTTGGAAAACGGCCGAATCTACCGTCATCGTTGGATTGCAACGCAGACGCGAGGTACCTACCGTGTTGGCGACGACGAAGACCTCTTCCCGAGACACATACTCGTGCGCATCCTCGGCGGCAGCGAAGCCCACGGCCGCGCCGCCGGCTACGACTGCGAGCGATCGCCAGCACACCATCGCCGTCCACGTCACAATGCTTTCTGTCGCCAACGTGCCGGCGTGGTCATACGGATAATGTATCCGGCACCACGTTAAGCGCAGGCAAGGCTTGTTTTACGCGAATTCGGTTTAATCCTTGCTATCGCGTCAAACGCAGCGCTGCAATGTGGCGTTGCCAGCACAACGCACCATTGCCGCCGATGTCGAGCACGCCCACACGCACTACTACTTGGACCTGTGTCGTGGCCTGCGTTGACACGCGCAGGCCCTCGATCAAGAGGTTAAATCCACATTTCGAGTCTCGCGAATGGTGTCTCAACACGCCAGATGAAGCGTAAACGCGATCAACCTAGCGGCTGGGGTGCGCTAAGCGTATGCTCCGTGCACGCACGTGTCTTTGCGTGGTTTCGTCGCGACGGCACGTCGCAACTGTAGCCTACAGGGAGGTTATGCCGATGGACGATATTTAACGTATGCGCTAAACAACGTCAAAGTGCGTTATTCGAACGCACAGCCAACGGCGCTGCTCAAAGGGCAAATTCCATCTTCGCGAGCCATGGCCAGCGAGCGTGGCGACAGCTCCAACTTCAACTACGGCGGCCGGCGCGCCAAGTCCGAGAGCGCGCGCTTCGAGGGCCTGCGCGGCTTCTTCGCCTGGGAGGACGAGACGGACCCCGCGTGGAAGGCCGCGGTCATGGCCCATGGCGGCGGCGTGCCCAAGTTTGCGACCAAGGCCGAGTGCGAAGAGTTCGTCAAGGCGCAGTGCGCGCCGGGCTCGAACCCCGACTTCCCGAACCTCCAGCACATCTTCACGATGCTCGTGACGTGGAACCAGATCCGCGATATCCTCTTGCCGGCGATGGCCATGGTCGACGCCAAGTACCCGTACGTGCCCCACCGGTCGCCCGTCCGTCCCGAGAACCGGTTCGTCGACAGCGCGGTCGAGAGCGGCGTCACGTGGCGCACAGAGCTGCCGTTCCACCGCGAGACGAACCGCGAGTCGACGATGCACACGCTCAAGTACCTCTTCTTCCACATGCGTTGCGGCATCTTCGTCATGATCCGCGCCGGCAAGGTCGTGCTCTTCGCGCCGTTCGTCAACAAGGACTATGAGAACAACTGGGCCGAGTTTCTCAAGTTTGACTCGTCCGACGGGAGCTTCAAGGCGTACTACGAGGGTGCGGTGCCATTGCTTTGGATGGATGCTAAGAGAGATGCGCGTGGATAGAGAAGCGCAACCACTACCGCCGGGAAAACGTCATTCCCGACGTCCGCAAGTGGTGGGCCAACGGCAACATCATCTGCAACGAGCACTGCAAGGACAACCGCCAGCTCGACGAGACGCAATACTGGGGCGACCAGTTCCTCGCCCAGCTCCGCGACATGTACGACCCACCGAGCATCGTTCTGGATCCTTACCTCGAGCGTAGGCTCGACGACTGCTGCAAGCACCGCGACCTGCCCGACTGCGAGTTTTTCATCAACAAGCGCGACTACCCGCATCTCAAGGTCCATTTCCATCCATATGCATAGCCTCACGTGGGCCCATATAGAACAACCTCTCGGAGCCGTATGGATTCCTCTTTGACCGTGACGACCGCAACCCGGACGAAGACCTCCCGCTCACGCAATACAAGTTTCCGTCGTACGCGCCGATCATGAGCTTCTACATCTCCAACCGGTTCCTAACATCGTCGCGGTTGATGTGTCTTGACGTCTTTGGCTTAGCTTTGCCGACATTCCGTTTCCTTGCTCGGAAGACTGGGAAGCCGCGACAGGTCTCGTCTTCCCGCCGTCGTTCCAGCACACCCATTGCCACCACTGTCCGTGCAAGAACAAGCGCAACTGCGAAGCCAACTGGGAGTGCTTTTGCCCCGGCGATCGCAAGTACCACGGCATCTCGGTAGAGAGACTGGGCTCCAAGCATTCCTGACGCATTCGGTAGACGGTGCGCGACTTGTTTACGGCGAGCAACTTTAAAAAGTTCGACCTGCCCTGGGAAAAGAAGGACAACACGGCGTTCTTCCGCGGCACGGCGACGGGCGGTGGCACCACGATCGACACGAACCAGCGCCTTCACCTTGCCCACCTCTCCAATTTGTACGCATTCCTCGTTGGTTTAGAAGTATTGATGGCGCATCGTAGGTGGAAGACCGAGTCCGAGTACCACCACTTGATGCACCCGCTGCCGTACTTGGACGCAGAGATCACGGCGTGGAACCTGCGCGACAAGAAGATCGCCAAGAACCCGATGACGTTTGTGCGGAAGGAGCGGTTCCAGGGCCGCGGCGAGTTTACGGCCGGCAAGCACCACTACATTCCCATGTACGAGCAGTCCAAGTACAAGTACATTTTGTACGTCGAGGGCCATTGCGCCGCGAACCGGTATGCGTTCCTCATGCGCCTTGGCGGCGTCATCCTCAAGGTCACGTCCAAGTGTGTCGCCGACGAAATGTGGTACGTTTTATTGTACTTTTCTTCACGAATTTCAAATTCCCATTTAGGTACACGCCGCTCCTGCAGCCGATGGTCGACCACGTCCCGATCAAGCCCGACCTCTCCGACCTCGCCGAGAAGATCCAGTGGTGCCGCGACAACGACGACAAGTGCCGCGAGATTGCGGCGCGCGCCAAGTGGCTCTACGACAACTACGTCTCGAAGGAAGGCATCCACGACTACATGGAGATGATCACGACGCAGATTGCGCAAAAGTACGTCCACGCGCCCACGCGGTTTGGCTACGTGCGCCCGAGAGAAGACGTGCAGCCGCCGTCGATGCGTCCGACGCACCCGCACGCGTGCGTCGGCGGCAGCGGCAACCAGCCCGGCCGCGTCTGCCGCGGCTGCAAGGATGGCGAGGCTGAACACCGCAGTAAGCGCCAAAAGCTGGAACAAGACGACGAAAAGTACGGCGCCAACAAGCCACTGGTAGGCTTTTATCACCTGCTTGCTCGACGCTAATGCGACGGGTAGCAATACGACAACTACCGTCAAGGCGGTGGTGGCCGTGGCCGCGGCCGAGGTGGTGGTGGCTACAACCAACAAAGCAGCAACTCCCGCAACAGCGGGTACCAGGCGCCGAGGGGGCCGCCTGCGGAGAAGGCGTGTCGCCGCTGCCGCCGCAAGATCTCTCTCTGCATGTGCTCGCGCCATTGAGGATACCGCCTCACTCGTCAACGCGAGGTGGAGAAGCTACTGGCGATAATACATACAAGTTATATTGCGCCGGCGGTCATACGGTGCAAAGCAAGACGGTGGCGTCGTCGCTGTGGCCAGCCTCGGTGCTCGCGAGCATGGCCAAAATGTCGAGCTCGTAGTGCTCGCCAAGAAAGGTGCTCGCAAAGCGTGTGAGCGGATTGAACTTGAGGTTGGTGTCCTTCTGGATGACGTGGGCGTACTGCGCCATCTTGGCCGGGTCGGTGTCGACCTGGCGGTACAACTCGGTGCTAGCAGCCATCGAGAAGGGGCTGTGTCCGTTCAGCGGGTGCTCAAAGCTCGCAATGGCCACTTGTAAAATGGCGTTGGCCGCCGCATCCATGTCAGTCGGTTCGCTCTCAAGCGCCGCCACGATCTCGTGGCCGTAAACGTTGTCAGCGACGCCGTCCGAGAGGAGCATGACCGTGTCCTTGGGCTCGAGGAGAAAGCACTCGTAGAGGCATTCGCTCTCAAAGCTCTGGATCGACTGCGACGCGACGCACGCCGGCGTGTTGAAGCCGTGGATGAGCGCCGCGCTTTCAAACACGAGCTGCTCGTTGCGCACGACGAGTGTCTTGACGTCTCCGATCGTGAACGAGTAGAGCCGCGGTGGCTCCGACTTGTTGCCGCGATGGATCACGGCGACGCTCAGCGACGCCTCGGCGGCTTTGTCCGTCGCTGCATACGTCGGTAGATCTCGTACGTTCCGGATGGCGCTCAGAATGTGCTCTTTGATCGCGAGCGAGATTTGCTCGGGCGTGCCCTCTGTCTGGAACTCGTCGCCCGTGAGGTACGGCTGCACACGCAGCGCAACGTGCGAAACAAGGTCCTTTACAAACTCGATAGACGGCAGCTCGGCGTCGAGGGACCCATCGGTCAGGATGAGCAAGCTCTTCTCGGCGTGGCTTGCATCCAGGCCGTGCTCCACAAAGCTGGCTTGACCAATCTCCGTCTTCGGTATGCGAAACGACGTGGCCGAAAAGAGGTCTGCCATCGCACGCAGCGACGACTTGCGTCGTGGCGCCTCCGCCTCCTCTGCGTGGCCGAGAAGCACGCGGCTAAAGCGGCGCATGGCACTCATCCGGTCGGGGCTGGTGCGCATGGCGGCCTGCGACGGCGATGCACCGAGTGTCGACGATTGAAGCGCGAGCTCGGAAGAAGGCATGGGCAGCGGCACGACGCTCGACTTGCGCAGTGCAAGATGCAGCGACGGCGTCGACGCTGCGGGCGACTCACTCTTGCGCCGATTCCACCCGCGCAGCATACACGCTTAGGTCAAAACTTCGGCTAAATAAAAGGGCAAACTCATGTCGTGAAACGCCTCGTGGTGCTGCCACGTAACGCTCTATCTCCACGAGGGATATCGCGCGTCGAGCACGTAGTTGCCCTTCTATGCATGTACTAGTAGGCGAGCTCAAAGGCTTAGGAGGATCGAACCCGCGATTTCAAGTTGGGTCGAGAGTCCTTGGCGGGGAGTGAGACAAGGTAATCAAGAAGGGAAGCATGATCGATCAACAAGCACATGCCAAGCAAGTGGCAATGAATCACGACCGTATATATAGTAGTTACAGAGTCTCCTCGACGCCACAGTAGGAAGTATGCTACCTTCGTCACGCAGTTGCTCTAGTAGCGACCGACAACGCGGTGCGTGGCGACCATGTGGTTGGCATCAATGACGGCGTGGTTCTTCTCTCTCGTGGCCGCCGGTTGGTTGAGCGTGAGGCGGCCGTTGACGACGAGGAGCGGGTTCACGCTGCTCATGACGTGTTCGTTGACAGTGATGCCGTCAAGATATTGCTTGAGGACGGCTTGGAGCTCGATGTTTTCCATCTCGATACGATCTTTCTCCTTCTGCACCGCCATTGTGTCGAGGAGCGCTTTGTTGTAGCGCTTCCAGAAGAGGTCCAAGTACTCCCACTCGGGCACGGGCTCGCCATTGAGCTCGCCATGCGGCTGCAAGAGCGCGAGCTTGGTCTGCTCGACCGGGTCCACGTCCGAGGGCAATCCTACGTCCCAATGGAACCATTTTCCATCATCAAAAGGCCAAACGAACCGACGGACGGGAGCTGGTGCTCGTGCTTGAGCGAGTTGACGGCGTCTGTCGCGGTCTCTTCGTCTTCAATCGACGAATGGTAGAACGGTAACACCTGTTCCCGCTCCGTCTCGAGCTTGCGTGCAAGTTCGGCGAGCTTGAGAATACGCTCCGCAAGCTCTTGCTCCTCGGTGAGTTTGAGCTTCGTTGCGCGCGCGAGGTGCGAGAGCTCGGTCAGTCGCTTCCGGTGTTCGTCCCGCATGTGGTTCATCTTGGCTTTGAGCTGCTGAAAGTGCGTTGCGATCTGACTCTTCTCTTCCTCAAGCGCGCGATTGCGCTCGTTGCACTCGCGCACGTTTTGGGCAATCTTGGTGCGCCAGTGCGTCAAATTGGCTTGGAGCCGCTCGATCTTGCGGATCTTGATCTCAATGTCTTTGGAAAGCTCTTGGTCCTTGGCCGTGAGGTACTTGAAGTCCTGTGTGCGCTGGTCTGTGTTTTGGAGATAGTTGAGGTGCGCCGTCTCAAAGTGCTGTTCGAGCTCTTCAATATTGCTATAGAGAGGGCATGAGCGCGCTTCTGTACAAAATGTCGAAATGGAACCTATCCAGTGTGATCCGCAAGACGTTGATGTCTTCAAGGTTTTTGTTGCGGATTTCTTCGCGCAGTTGTTCGTGCTCTTGCTTGGCTTCGGCTTCGCGCTCCTTCTCTTGGGCTTCCACCGCGCGCATGATGTTCAGCAGCTCGTTCTTCTCGAGGTGGTGCTAGGTGCAAGAGGGTGCTATCGCTCCTTAGTTAATGGTCGAGAGACGCGTACTTGCTTTGTGATTTTCTCCTTCTCGACGCTGAACTCGCGCTCAATGATCTGAAGGTCCTTCTCAAACTCGTTCTCGAGGCCGAGGAGTCGACCGTCCTGGAGGTCAATGAGCTTGTCGACGTTGATGAGGTGGCTGCGCAGCGCCATTTGGTACTGCTCCTCAGCCTCTTCGAGGTCGCGATCCAGCATTTGAATGATGGCGTCTTTGCGATCGACGTCGCGCTCGTGGTTTTGCGACTTGATTTCCACTTCCTTCCGAAGCGACTCGACCTTGACCAAGCGCATGATCTTGCGCCAATGGTTCTGGATCTTGAGCTTGTTCATCTTGGAGATCTTCTGCTCCTTCTCCATAAAGTCTTTGAGCTGCTGCTTCTTGGAGACGGCGAGTTTCTTGAGGTAGTCGTTCATCTCGAGCCGATTGATCGAGTCGGCGAGCCGCCGCTCTTCGTCCGTCGCGCCCTTTCCGTCCTTCTTGCCCTTCTTGTCTTTGCTGCTGCCTTTCACAGCTTTCCCAAGCTGTGCGCCGCCTTGGAGCTTGAGCGAGAGGTGCAGCACACGAACCATCCTTCGAATTGCACGTGCACTCGAAACCTACTTTGACGATTTGCGACAAATTTAGCGAAACGAGCGAGGAGTGACACAGCAATTGGTTTGGATGCAATTGTGAAAACCTTCAAGACGCTTGCGCAGAGGCGCCAAGTTGACCCTGGTCCAAGCTCGGCGTCAGTCACCTCTCGCTTCAACCGCCGTGTGCCAGGACGTGACTTTTAATGACGAGCCGAGATTCGCGTCATCATTCGTCGCTCTTAAGCGCTGCGTCTCGATGGACGAGGATAGTGCCTCGTGATGGCAACGAAATCGAAAATGTGCATTATGAGGGTTAAAAATGCCACGGGGCCGTCGTCCGGTGCGTGCTTACATGTTAGTTGGTCGGCGGCGCGACGTACAAGTCACTGCTTGAGACCGCCACGCCGATCTTGGAGCTCTTGGTCACAATCGTGGCGTCGCCGGCCGTGTAAAAGTAGTCGGCGTCCGTTTGCGTCACGGTCACAATGTCTCCGCGCGTCGTCGCGTAGTACGCTTGGCCCGTCGTGAGGTCGCCTGCGACCGAGACGGATCCGGTGACGGTCACGCCGTTGGAGCCGCTGCCGATGCCGGCCACGTTGCCGTACGTCTCGACAAGCGAGAGGCGCTTCGGGTTCACCGGCCCCAGCGTGCCCGTGTAGCCAACGACAAAGCTCTCGGCCGACGTCGGGACAAGGTCGAGCGTCACGGCCGTCGGCGTCGTCACGGACGTCGCGCCCGCCAGCGTAAAGTCGGCCGCCGACATGCGCATGAGCGGCGTCAATGGCTTGAGCGTGTACGTGTCCGAGATCTGGAAGACTTGGGTATACGGCTTGCCGGCGTTGCTCGGGTTCAAGAACGCCAGCGCGAGGCGCGTCGACGACAGCGCCTTGAGCGACGGCTTGGGCGAGAAGCTGAAAAAGTTGCCAAAGTCAAACTCGCCCGACGCCGCGGCGCCGAGGGTATAGACGCCGCGGAAGACGACCTTTTGCGTGATCGTCGAGATCTGCACCGTCGCGATCGTGAGCGTGTTGCCGTTCAGACTGTCGTAGAACGCCATCGCGAGCATATCGGGGGCGATGCTGACGACCTCGAGGAACGCGGACGGAAGGTACGCCTTCGAGCACGTCTCGCTCTTCTTGGTGACGGCGCCGGTCGAGGCGGCGACCGTGCCGAGGTAGATACAAAGCCCCTTATTGTCGGTCGCAATGTCCGACCACCACGCCAGCGCAAAGTGGTCCGCGAGGGCGGGGACCGCGACGGGGTTGGCGAACGTCGTCGAGTACGACGGAGTGACGTTAAAGTTGTTGCCATCGCCAAACGTGACGGCCGTCGCTGTCGTAATGCTCCCGTCGCTTGCAACGACGCCGCCCGTGAGCTCTTCAAAGAACGCACCCGACGCATTGTACGGCTGGAAGCTCACCGTGACAAAGGTCGTCGCCGAGACAGCGCCAATGTTGTTGGAGAAGGACGAGGACGCGATGGTCGCACGCTTGGTCGGCAAGTATTTCACGGACGGCGGCGACTGCGTGAGGGCACCCGCCACGACCGAGACGCTGCCCGTCGAACTCACTTCGAGGAAGACGGCTTGCGTGTCCGAGAGCGTTGCGACACCGCGGATGGTCTTGCCCGAGAGGACGTTGTCGCTCGGCGCCTCCGCCATGCTCAGCGTCTTGTCGGCCTTCGCCGTCACGGTCGTCACGACCGATTGCAGCTTGGATGGCAAGTAGTACGTCAAGATGTTGGTCGCGTACGTCGACTGCGACGTGCCCATGCGCACGGTGGTGATGTACTGCATCGTGTCGCTTGGGAGCGTGGCTGCATCGAGGTACGCAGTCGTGCCGGCGCCAACGCGAAGCGTTCCGTTGGCCGCAAAACTCACGGGCTTTTGGTTGGCGCCGCTCCCGCCAAACGACGCACTCGAGAGGAGAACGCTGGACGAGTGGGACTTGGCGCCGCGGTCGAGGAAGTGCAAGAGGTACAAGGCGAGGCCGTTGAGCAAGATGAAGACGATCGCCACGAACGTGATTTTGAACTTGCGCGAGATGCGAGGGAGCTCGGCCTTGGTCGCGTCCATCTCGACGACGATGTTCTTGCCCTCAATGTAAGGCGTGTCGGCCGTCGGTGTGTCGGCCATAAGTCTGTAGTCGATATGCGCCGGAGAGGGTCAATTGAGTACTGACCATTGCTGTCGCACGCCCGGTGGAAGTGTTCGATATATACTAGTGTTCGTGCTTTGTCTGCTTCGAACATTGTGGCCCCTGAACCATCCAAGAAAGAAGATTTACTTATTGTGTGTCTAATTATGACGTGGCGGCATGCCGTGCCGTCCGAGAAACAGCCGGTGCAGGACGTTGAACCGCCGACCAAACTATGAGCTTACGAGCGATTGTAGGTTTCGTAGCGCGCATAGAGGTCCCGTAGCCGCGCGTGTGCATGGTAGCACTGCTCGTACGTTGCCAGCGTCGACGTCCACGCCGGGTCCAACGTCGGTGGTTGGAAGGTGTTGTTCTGGCCGTGGCTCAGAGCATCGCAACACGCGAGGATGCGCTCGATGTGCGCCTCGGCCGTCGCAAGCACAGCCATGGTGTTCCTACAGCAGAGAAACATCGGTCGCGGGCAGACGCCAAGTGCGTACTCTTGGTCGCCGGGTGCGATATGCAGCATCTTGGACGTGTGCGCTGTCTGGAGCTTCTGTAAAATGGTCGGTCGCAGCGCGTGGAAAGCGTCCATTTGGGCACGCAGCGCCGTGAGCATTGCGTGCTTGGCATCGATGGCGCCGGTGGCCAAGAGCGGCGCTGTCGTCGCGACAAACGTCAGTTCGTCAATGTCGCAAAGGATCTACTGTATGCGCCTCTTGTCGTCGAACAGGCAGATGCGATTGTGCACCTGGAAGAGCGCCTCTTCAGCGGCCGTGATATCTGTCATGAGTTGGATGACGTCCAAGGACGGCGATGAGACCACGTCGTCGTCATCGTCGTCCAGGGCCATGGGCGCGACCTCCTAGTCGCAATCGTAGCGCTCAACAAAGCACGCGCGCGAGCTGGAGGACGTACCTTCCACTTCTGGAGGAAGACGTCGAGGGCCGTCGGTGCTGCCGCAGCGTCCGCCGACCAAGGATTTGACGCCATGGTTGTCTTTAATTTCGGATTATGCCGAATCTCGTTAGAAAAGCAAGGACATGACCCTTTTTTAGGACATTCAATCTCTCTGCCATGTCGGAGCACGTACACCTGACAAGTCGCACTGCAGCAACATGCAGCGACAACAAAGCGTCGAGACGAACTCTCTCTTCCTCGTCCATCGGTAGCTGCTGCGTCGGCCACGCACGCAATTTTCGCTCGCTCAGTCGACGGCCGGACTCTTGGACGACGAGGAAAAGACACCACGACGACCGACATGGCGGCTATCACTCGACGAGAGTTGCCCTTCGTGCGCAAGTTCCATCGACCTGATCTCTGGATACACTGCCTTCGATTGATCATCCACTGCATGATACACTGCCTCCGTCTGCGTGCTCGGTCGATTGCTTCCAAGCTCCTACAACCCGAGGGTGTCCAGGCCATGGGGGTCGGCTCGAGAGGGTGCAGCGGACGTTCGTGCTCGTGGCTGCTCTACACTTGACCAGCGGTACGAATTAGGGCATCCGACCAGGCGCGAGATATGCAGTTTCTGCGCCCACTTGCTCAAAATCGCATGCTTTGGCGGCAAATAATACTCCAATGGTTAAATTCCGCATACAAATACCAAGGTATGGACGAGAAAAAATCGAGCAACGGGTTACACACGCCAAGACGGGCACGCCACGAAAGCGTCATTCGCAATCCGCCATGCGTCGTCGCTCTCTCCATGTCCTGGGCATGATGAGCCTCGCAGCGTCGACGACCGCCTCGTGCTTCGAGAGTGGGCGCTGCTACCTCTACGAAGGCGTGCCCCTCGGTGTCGCCGCGTGCGACCTCGCGTCCGCGCAGTGCCCGCCCTGCGTGCAAGAGTACCTCGGGAACCTCTGGTGCAGCCGCGCATATCCCGCAGTGCAGTGCCTGCCAGGCTTCGAGTACTGCCCCGTGGTGCCAAAGCCGAACACGCCATCGCCCCAGCCCCAGCCAACGTCGCCGTCGACGCCACCTCCGATACCGCCATCCTCGTCGCCGACGACGACAACGAGGGCTCCGACCCAAGGACCAACACCGTCGCCAGCGACACCCGCCCCAACACTGCCGCCAACGACACCACCGCCTGCAACTCGGTCACCGACGCCGACACCGACACCGACGCCGTCGCCGACTTTGGAACCAACGACCACACCGCCGCCGGCAACAACGACGCCCGCGCCGACACCGAATGCAACGAGCCCAAATGTGACGGAAACGGTCGATGCGCAGGATCCGTCGCTTGCAGGCACAGAGGAAGCACGGACGGAGCCGGTGACACGCCCACCAGCAGTCATGACCGACAAGACGGAGAGTGCGTCGTCGCGCACCGAGTCGGCGTCGCTACCCGGCACCTCGGTGCACTCTACCTCCGGGAAAGGGTCGTCATCGATCTCAATCACGGCCATCGCAGCCGGTGTTGGCGCTTGCACGGTCTTCATCTTTGTCGTGATCGTGGTCCGATTCCGTCGGCGGCAGGATTGGGAGACCCGCAGTGTGCTCTCGCCGTCCAAGGTGCTCTTCAGCATCCGAGGCACTCTGCCTGGGACGTTCATGCGCGGCGAGACGCCCGTCCTCGACGCTCGGTCGTCGCCATTTCACTCGGTCACGCCCGTGATGGAGTCGTCGTCACGGCAGTTGCCGATTCTACAGCACCAGTCATGAGCTGCGAAAGGATCATGCCGTATTTAACCCCACTTGTTTCCGTCGTCCTACTTCGTTCCAAGTACTCTAGACGCCACTCGTACACCCACCTTATCGTGTCGTTGTGTTGTGACGTGGCAGCACCACGAGCCGCCAATGTATTAGCAAACGCGTCTGCGATGTACGTCGCCGTGTATTGGGCTGTTTCAATGGCGGTCTTTCAGGCAGCAGCTTTTGTCAGCTTTCGTCGCATCCTGACAGCCAATCAGTGGCGCATCATGTTATGTAGTATGATATGAAGCAAAGCTGTGTGCCGACGTCCTGCTACCCAGAACGTCCTGCGTGACGCTATCTGTTGGTCAAAATCAACGCGCATATCCTCAGATGCTCCATCCGCACGTTAGGCTGCGTGCATGTCGTCGTCGCCGCTTCTCACGACGGTCTAACACTCGCATTATAAGTTAGCAGGAGCATGCTAGCGATCAAGCTGCCACAGTCATAATCGTTTCGCCAAGGGTGCTACTTTGGCTGCGGACGGCGCCGTCCTCGCCAGAGAGACCGCCGTTGACGTCGTTGTGCCGGCTGCGAGCGCAGTGGGTTTAACCATGGACGGCGACTGTACACGCTTGGCCGGTGCGACCGGTCGCGTCGGTACTGGAATATTGGGGATTTTCGTCAGCGTGGTCTCGTCCTTCTTGTCCTACGCCGGTTGAGATCCCACCCGCGATGCATCGTGCTCAACGTACTTTGGCTTTGCTCGCCACGGCGCTCGTTGTCGTTGTTGGCGGCGCCTTTATGAGCGCACTTCGCGCGGTGGCCATTTTCGCTGGGTCTGTAATCTGCTTGAGCGAGCCCGTTGTTGCCGTCGCACTCTTGGACTCTCTTGCAATGAGGCCGGCGCTGGCACTCTTTGGTGCGAGCGTCGCACACGTGGGCAGTGACACGGCCGACGACGTTGCTGTTGGCTTAGCCACCATGGTCGTCGGGAGCTTGGTGCCACCGGGCTTGGCGTCGAGCTTGCTAAATTGGCGCGCTGGCACGGACGTGGACGACGACCGCGGATTGGCCATTTCTTTGCTGTGCTGTCGGATCTTGCTGATGATGTCGATCGACTTGACGCGCGCGCGCCGAACGACCTGGCCGTCCTTCCCAACAATTAAGGTATACTCAAGCATTTCCGACCACTTGGCTTCCGACGTGAAGAGGTCGTGGTCCGTGTGCATGCCGAGCGCCTCTTCGGCAGCGACGCGGCGGTCGTTGTCCTCGTCCGACGTGGCGATTGCGTCCGCCCAGTGGTCGCGTGTATGTACAAGGACGGCGAGGACGTCACGGTCGGCTTCGTTTGGTGCTTCGAGTACGATGCGGATGCGCGTGAGAAGCTTCTCGTCGCCGGGCGCCTTCGGGTCCAAGCAACGCTTCCACGCTAGGAGCAGGGACGCCGCCTTGATGCGTACGTTCGGTACGTGGTCGTCGAGGAGGTCGAGTGCGGGCTCGACAAAGACGTGTCGGATGTACTTGCGGCTGTAGCAGCTTACAGCAAAGTCGCATGCGTCGAGGAAGAGCGATCGCTGCCAGTAGCTTTTGCCCTGGGCGTACTCCTTTCGTAGCCGCACGAGAATGTTGAAGCGGTTGGTCTGGACTTTGTTTTCGCGGTGGAGAACCACGAGGGTGCGCACGGCTTCGAGCTGTACTGGTCGCGCGCCCTAACACCCAACGTCGTCGTCGGCAAGTGCCACATGGAGAGATCAACGCACCGCGTTCATCATCTCAAAGAGGAGGGGAAATATTCGCTCAAACAGCTGAATCGGGGACAAGAACGGGTGTAGCTTCTCGAGGGCCGAGACAACACGTAGCTGGTCGCGCCACTTGCCGGCCGATAGGACCGTATGATGCTGTAAAATGTGTTTCAGCACCGTCTCCAAATACGCCATCTAGAAGCCAACGGCCTTTCCCACATTGCACTTTGAAACAGTGGCGTGTACCCGCTGGTCGTCGTCAACGCTCGTGCAAAAGTACGGCATGACGTCGGGTAAGCGCGCGATCATGTAGCCTTGGACGACCGCCGACTCGTCGCGCAGCGTCGTGAGCGACATGGCTTTGATGTACCGCAACGCACGCTGCTGCCCAAGGAGGTGGGCGATTTCATGGAGGCCTGCGACGGCCGTGATGCGGACGCTCTCGACCTTGTCCTGCGTGAGCGCTTGGAGAAGCTCGTCGAGCTGCGCCGAGTATTGGTTGGCGCCAAATGACAAGACGACCGCTGGAAAGTTGTAGGCACAAGCGAGGCGCACCTCGTTCTCGGCGTGGCGCCCGAGCCGGTTGAAGGCCGCGAGGAGGACGCTGCTGCTTTCCGCACAAAAGTCGTTGAGTGTGAAGAGCTTAAAGACGAGTCGTCCGAAGCTGCTGGCGAGGGGGCCAATTAAATACGATGGCGTGTACGCAATCACGTCAAGAAGCACGGGCAAGATCTGCGCCTCGCGCTCCTTCTTGGGGTAAAAGTCGTAAAGCGACACGAGGGTCCGAAAGGCCATGATTTTGACTTGCTCCTCTTCGTCTTGGAGGAGCTCGAGGAGCTCGGGCAGTAAGTCCGCACACGCCTTTGTCGTGCTACGATACAAAATGCGCACCCGCGGACCAATGCGATGCGCTCGTCTACCTCACAGCTCGCGCCAATGCATCCAGCTGCATGCACATGCACGTCCGTACGTCCGTGTCCGTGTCTTGGCACAGGCCCATCATCTAACACGACAGGATGTCAGATGCTTTGGGGTTCGGTCGTCGGCGTGCCTTTTGGAAAAAGAGACTCTCAATGTCGGCCTCGGACAGCAGCGTCGACGCCGTGAGCAGGCCGAGGACCCAACAACAAATGAGGCGCGAGCCCGCGGCCTGGGACACGTCGCCCTTCTCGATGCCGATGCGAATGATCTACTTGTCCATGTCAATATACTATGAATCGAAGCAGACGCACCTGTGTCTTCTTGATCGAGCCCGAGAGGCGAGGCACGAGAGCGGCGATGCACCGACTCGCCACTTCGGCCACGTCTTTCTGCTGAATGTCGTTGACGAAATCAAGCACCATGGGCAAGAGCTGCTTGGTGACTTGGTCGTCGCTGAGGAGAAAGGTCGCGGCCAGCTTTTGCCGGTGGTAACTCGAGACGAGCTCGTCGTACTCGTCGTGAAGCGTCGGCAGCGGGTACGCGATGAGCTTGCCGTCGCACGTGCCGCCGGCGAGGTGCATGAGGCAGTTGAGGATCTTGATGAGCATTTCCATGTCGTTCTCGGTCTCGTTGCGCTTCCAGAGCATCTATGCGCTGTCGATGAGCACGACGGATCTACGTGGCAATTGCCTTGATGTCGTCGAGGAGGAGCGTTAAATTCTCTCTCGAGTTGTTGGCGGCGAGGATCGTTGGGATCGAAGCGAGCACTGAGACCTTTTGCTGCTTGAGTCCTGTCTTGAGCAGCCAGTCGGCGCGAGGGATCTCGGCCATGTCTTCCTCGACATGCAGCCGCTCGAGGTCCGATGGGTTCTACGCAGCATATTCGACGGTCTCTTCCTAGAGAACCCAGCTGTACCACGTCGCCGTCGCGGTCGAAGCAGCACTCGGCCTCTTTCTCGAAGAAGAAGTCGTCCATGGCGCCGGCCCCATGCAACAAAAGGACTCTGGCGCGACGCCACCAGCGCTGCCGCTATTTATAGCGGCGTTGCGTAACGTCGCTGGAAACACCCCGCCTCATGACGTGGCGCCACGAGCAGACACCTCCCAGGCTGTGTTGTAAGAGCGTTGTGTCTGGAAAGGTTGGCTCGCGACAGGACGCATCGTAGCCACCATAGTACAGTATAAAGCAGCTCGATTGCGTGGCCGCACCGAGAACTCCTTGAGAGCTCCTAGCGGCGAAAGGAAGACCGTGGTGATGCAAACGCAGTCAAGCGATCATTCGAGCCGCAACGCTCGTCGTGGCGACTGGAAGCAAATGAAGATGCTCGTCCGCAGCAGAACCAGCGCTCGAGCCATCTCCATCCAATGACCGCCGACCAATGCCGCCAATGAACACCTGGTGTTGGCTTTGAGCGATCCGACTTGGACTTCATCCAAGGGTCAATGTCCCTTGGGTCCATCCTGCTGTCGATACCGCAAGAGTGGCGGCTAGTGCATCGACACTTTGAGATAACTGACTCCAGTCCTTCAACTGTTTCATCGTAGTTTAAAAACATACCTCTGTGCGCAGCGACTTGATCGGATCGAAAGATCGGTCAGACCGTCCAATTCATTTAACCTAATTGCCCGTCCTTCAGCAGGCTCGTCCTATTATAATAGTCGCTCGGTCGCGTTTAACGACAACTGATCAGCAAGCTTTGTGCGGATCAGTTGTCTGCGAACAGGTGGTTGCCTGGGTGGGTGCAGGTCCCCGAGTCCCACTGGGCAGTGCCACCATCACTCGCGCCTCGAAATGGAACGACATCCGGATTGAGCTCGCGGTTCCAATTGCGGCAGAATTGAGTTTCCCGTTCGTTCCCCAACCGCCATGGCCAAGAGCAGGAAGACGACCAAGAGCAAGGCCATGAAGCGCAAGGCGCCGCCGCCACCGCCCGTCGCGGTGCACTACGACGACGACAGCATCAACACGCTCTTCGAGGCCATGAGCGTCGTCGCCGTCCGCTGCGACGACGACGAGCGCTTCTACGTGGCCGAGCTCCTCGACGACACGACCGAGGAGATGCTCGACGACGACAGCGCGACCGTCAACGTCCTCTATTATGACAAGCAGCCCGACGGCTCGTATGTCGTCGGTGCCTACGATGTGGCGCCGGTCCGCGCCATCATGTGCGAAGTCGCACTCGAGGCGAAGCGGGCGGGGACCTACGCGCTTCCGGCCCGCCACGCCCAGCGGGTGCGTCCACAACTCCACAATCCCATGATCATCATCTTCATCTCATCGTCGCATGTGCAGGTTCAACGCGTCTTGGATGCTGTCGAGGCGGGGAACGGCGTGCCCGAAGAAGAGACGCAGCCCATCAAGAAGCGCAAGACCAAGGCGTCCAGCGCTGTGGAAGACGACGACGACGACGCGACGATGACGACGATGGTACCGAGGCGACGTCAAAGAAGTCGCCCCGCAGCAAGCGCAGCCGTGCGTCGCCCAAGAGCGCCAAGCTCAAAATCGACAAGAAGTCGGGCTTGGCGCGCTGCATCGTGCACGTTGCGACGGACGTGGCCGACGACGAGATGGCCGGCGACCACAGCTTCCGCGCCAAGTGCCACGACGTGCTCGCGAGCGCCAAAGAGGTGCTGCGTGCTGTGCTCACGCGCAACTACGACCTCCTCGCGTCGCTCTTGACACCGGACGCGGCTGCCAAGATGCACACGCTCCACGCGGCCCGCAGCGTCGGCGTGCGGAAGACGGCGCTGCAGTATGCGATCGAGCACAACGATACGCAGGTATATATGCTTCGTGTCGATGTCGGCTCACGGCGCGAACCAGGCGCTCCTATTGTTTCAAGGTATCAAGGAGACCAAGTGGACATTTGCCGCCAAGCCCAAGTGTGCGCTGCAATCCCTCGGGACGGGACAGCACACGAGTGCGTACAGCGACTACAACCGGTGCGAAGCCGTCTCTTCTGTGTCATGTCGCATCACACCGACACGCGTAGGCGCGCCATCAATGCGAGCCGCGGCGGCAAGGAAGGGCTCAACGCGCTTCTCAAGGACCTGGACCTGGACACGATGGGCGATGCCTATCCCTTCGTGGACCTTGACCGCGCTGACCTCAGCAAGGTGCTGTGGAGCTCGCCCAACACGACGTACGAGCTTGTGGCGTTCTTTTACCCCGCGGACGCGTGGGTCTCGAACGCCGAGACGGTGATGCCGCGAGTGTTCCGCTGCGGCAATGTGGCGCTCGCGACCAAGCTCCTCGGTATCCTCGTCGCACGCTCTGGCTGGGGCTACAATGCGCTGCACCTCGGCGTGCTCTCGGACGCGCCGCTCGAGCCCTTTCGAAAGGTCTCGGTGCTCAAGAAGGCGACGGGCCATGGTATCGCGCCCTTGCACGTGGCCAGTCTGGACCCAGCCGCGCGCCACTTGGGGCAGCTCGTGGCCGAGCTCAGCACGCCCGAGCTCGAGTTTGCCGACAGGGCCGGGTGGCACGCTGTGCACTACGCCGCCGTGTGCTCCTCGTCGGCGCCGATGCGCATTCTTCTTGATGCCGGTGCCAACGCGACGGCCAAGACGACGGCCAAAGGTACGAGAGGTCAAGAAGCTTTATGAACCAACAAACCGAGTGCGTAGAAACGCCTTTGCATTGGGCGAGCTCCTTTGGACGCGCCGAGACGGTGAAGCTGCTTCTGGAGTCGATGCCCGCCGAGATGCGCTCCGGGTACCTCGAAGGCCTCAGTCCAAATGGGTTTCGTGCGTTGCACATTGCCGCTGTGCGCGGACACGCGGCCGTCGTCACCGCGCTTCTCGACGCCGGCGCCGAATTGAACGCAGCTACCGCGAGCAACCACGGCAAGCTTTCAGCACTGGCGCTGGCTGCCGAGGCTGGTCACGCCGACGTTGTGGATGTCTTGCTCCGCGCCCGTGCGCCTGTCGACATCCGCGACAAGCTCCGTCGCACGCCGCTCATCCTCGCCGTCATGAACGGATACTCTGCCGTGGCCACGACCCTTCTGAACGCCGGCGCCGATGCGTACGCTAGCCGAGCCTGCGTGGCGATCCTCATGTGTCATATTGTATAGAAACGCCGCCGATACGTCGCTCAACACTGTCATGCACTACGCGGCGAGCTACGGGTGGCGGTCGTGTGTCCGGCTGCTGCACAGCGTCGGCGCCGAAGCGTGGAGTCGGAACGACTGGGGCTACACGCCAATGGCGTGCGCGGCGCTCAAGGGCCGGTACGATGTCTCGCGCTTCCTCATCGACCACGCGACGGACCCTGGCGCCATCGACTTTGTCGACGCCAACGGCGCGTCGATGCTTTTTCTGCAGTGCCAACTGGCCGAGTCGACGGATGAACTCACCTTTTTGCTCGAGAAGGGAGCTGACCCGAACCGCGCGACGATGGACGAGTGCACGCCGATCCAGCAAGTGCTTCAGCGCCTCGCCACGAGCGAGGAGGCAACAAAGCCGGCGCTGCTGGCGATGCTGACGCTCCTTCTCAAGCATGGCGCCACTGTCGATGGCCCGGCGCTAAAGAAGCACGGGCAACCGCTGTCGTTGGCGATGCGCGCACAGTCCAAGCCCGCGTTCGACCTGCTTCTCCCCACGACCACGGTGACGGCGGCGACGTGGTTTGTTGCTGTGACGTCTGGCGCCGAGTTTGTCGAGGCTCTCTTGGCCGCGTCAAAAGGAATGATTCCTCTCGACGCGACACCGTATCACGCCAACTTGTTGCACGCGCTGGCATCGTCGCCCACGAGTCTCCCGATCGCAGTGGTGTCGGCGGTCGTTGCGCGGCTCGACAAGGCGGCGTTCACTGCGTGTGACCACGGCGGCGACACACCGGTTGCTGAGCTGTTGCTCTTCCAGCGACCGATGCACATCGACGTGCATCGCGACGACGATGCTAGCGATGCGGCGTACATGGCGCTCTTGGAGCTCTACTTGCAGCATACGCCCGACCTCGCGCGTCTGCGGCGCATGCAGACGCTGACGAAAGAGAAGAAAGCGGATGAAGAGGTGTGGGCGCCGTCGACCATGGGGCTTTTGCACATGGCGGCTGCCCGGAAACTGGCAACGACGTCGGACGGCCCTCGGCGCTGGCGCGGCAAAGACGTTCTCGCGACGCTTCTATCCTTTGGCGCGTGGACACAAGCGGATGTCGATGCCCTCGATGACGACGAGTCCCCACTCCTAGTGGCGGCCAAGCACGGCCATGTCGACGGCGCCAGAGCACTGGTACGTCGTATTCCCTCGCTCCCTGCTAATGCTTAGCACGCGTGTGTATAGATCGATATCGGTGCCAACGTCAACTACTGCGTCCCAATCAAGCCTGCGACGTTGGCGTGCACACCCCTCCACGCGGCGCTCCATTGTTTGCCGATGGTCCAGCTGCTTCTCGAGAACGGCGCCGACGCGTCGTTCGCAGCCATCGCCACGCCAAAGAACACGCCGTTGCACGTGGCAGTGGACCGCCGAAACACCGAGTTGGTCGACCTGCTTCTCTCGTTTGGCGCCAACGCCGTGCTTCAGAACGAGCTTGGGTTCACGCCCCTCACCGCTGCCGTTGCCGCCGGCCTCTCCGTCGAACAGACCCTGCTGCATGCCAACGACGTCGACTACACAACGACCGTGCAGCAAGGCGACGACTGGGACTTTGCGTGTCACAAAGCCAAACCAGTCGAGGCGCCGCCGGCCCGGACGGTGGTCTCTGCGCTGATTCGTGAGACGACGAAGGCAGCGATCCCGGTGCCCGACGCCCAAGGGCGCACGAGCCTGCACTACGCGTGCAAGAAGCGCGACATTCACTTGCTCCGGTGCCTCCTCGCGCTCTCGTCGGACGCGATCAACGTCACCGATGTCGACGGGCGCACGCCGTTGCACTTTGCCGTGAACGCGGCACCGATGACACCCGAGGCCACGTTTGACGTGGAGAGCTTGCTGCTGCAACACGGCGCCGACGTCAACGCCGTCGACCGCTTTGGGCTCTCGGTGCTCCACTTCGCGTTCGTCAAGGTCAACCTCGACTGGCACCATGAGCACAAGTCGCTCTCTCACGCCGAGATGGTCAAGCAGCACGAGGCCCACTTGACAGCGATCCCGAGAACCGAATCGGACCCGATCGAGACAGTCGGCAGTCTCTGCCTCGTTGACGGCCTTGTTGTCACGGGTCAGGACGTTCTCGGTCGCACGCCGCTGCACCTCGGTGCCGCAACAGGCGCCGTCGTCAGCGTTCTCGGCATCCTGCATCTCGCGCCCAAGACCATTCTGCACGTCACAGACACGCGCGGCGACACGGCGCTCGGCCGCGCGATGGCCCACGAGCGCAAGGCCATGGTCACGACGCTCATCCAGCACGGCTCGTCCGTCCACGGCACGTTTACGGTCGAGAACCCGTCGATGGAGAAGAAGCGCAAGGCGAGCTACTACTTTTTTGCCGTGCAGCAAAAGTGGCAGGGCATTTGCCACCTCCTTCTCCAGAGCGGCTACTGCCGCCGCCAGGCGGTCGAGGATTCGATCCGGACCCACAACTGGGAGCTGGTACGAGTCTCTCTTTTCGTACAGTGTATCTCACGCGTCGTATAGACGAGCAACCTCATCACGAGTCTTGTCAACAGCAGCGATCGCGTCCTTCAGCATCTCAACGACCGCGGCGAAACCCTCTTGCACATTCTCGCGGCCCAAGACGTCGAGTTTACTGGCGCCGCCCGCGCTGTTGCGTGGCAACTCATTGATGCGGGTGTTTCCGCAAGCGCTCTCGACAAGAGCGGCGCCTCGGTGCTCCATGCTGCTGCGCCCCACGCGCACCTGGAAGCGCTTTGTTTTTACCTGCACCACGCACCGACGCTCCTCAATGCGACCATGGCCAGCTCCGGGGCATCGCCAGTGGTCCACGGTCTGCGCACCGTCACCAACGTCGACCTCGCCACCAAGCTCGTGGTGTTTTTCAAGCGTCGGGGCGCCGATCTCTCGCTCCGCGCCAACGACGGGCACTCGGTGGTCTCACTGCTGCTGGATCGCTTCAGCAACAACAATAGCACGGATGCCACGCGCCTGCTCTTTCTGCTGCAACTGCTGCTCGCTGCCGGTGTCTCGCCCAGTGGCCGCTTCCCGACGTCGCACCCGTTGGCGGTCTCCCGCCATGCGAGCCACGACAAGCTGTCGCACGCGACACCGCTCCTGCGGACTCTGTACGTGACGTCGGGGTACTTGCGCCAGCACCTCTTGACGCTGCTTTTGGCGCACGGCGCTGACATCACAGAGACGGACACGGACGGCAACAGTTGTCTCGCACACGCCGCCATGCGCAATCTCACGGACGAAGCCAAGTTTCTGGTCGGCAAGAGCGTCGCGGCAACGATTGAGCGCCCGCTCGTCGCCACAGACAAGACGGCTGCGAACACTGAGACGTCGGAGGCAGCTCAGGACAACAACGTGTCGGGCAACGACGAGGACGAGGACGACGACAGTGCGAGTGCCTCGGGTAGCGACGAAGACATGGGCAGCGGCTCGGATGACGACGATGCGGAAGAGGAGGAAGAAGCCGAGGACGAGCCGATGGCAGCAGTCGAGGAAGCAACCGAGGCAAAGACAACGGACACAGAAGAGGTCGTTGTCCGCCGACCTCCGATTGTCGTGCGCCGGAAGCTGCCGGCGGCGGCCCTGCGCAAACTCGTCGGTCTTTCAAACGCGTTTGGCGAGAATGCACTGCACGTCGCAGTGTACCCTCGTCACGGGATGTCTTTTGAGAACACGCTACTGGTGCAGCTGCTCAAGAAGAGTGGCGTCTCGACCACCGCGACCGACGTCGACGGGCGCACACCGCTGGACTTGGCCAAGACGCAACCGTCGGGTGTGCTCTGGACGGCGCTAACGTCGACGCCGCTGCCATCGATCGGCGACGCGCCGTCCTTTGTGCCCCAACCGGCTGTCGACGACGACGCTCTCGCGTTCCTTGCCTACTGCGAAGCCCACGGCCATGTCGTGCACGAAGAGATCACGCCCGAGGTCGCGCCGCAGTGCGAGGCCGGCAACAACCCGTCCGTGTTGGTCGATGCCGACAAGGTCGCGTACGCCGTTGTCTTGACCAAGGTCGACGTGCAGTCGGGCCAGCACGGCGTCAACGTGTTTTACCGCATGCAGGTCGTTCACAACCCGGTGCAGGATGTGTACATCCTCTTCACCAACTGGGGGCGCATCGGAGAAGACGGCAAGTACCAGCACACGCCGTTCCCAGACGCAGTGAACGCCTGCAACGAGTTCAAGAAGATCTTCAAGTCCAAGACGAGCAACGTGTTTCCGCCGACGTCCGAGACGCCGTTTACCAAGAAGCCCGGCAAGTACATGCTCTGTGTCGCCCGCACGCAGCGCGCCAAGTACGACATAGTTGTGACGAGCCCGATTCAAGTGCCATCGGACGCACCGCCTTCGGTGCATGCGCCGCCCGTGCAGGACGCGCTCGCGGCGATTACGGACTTCAACTGTCTCCACGAAGCTGCGAAGCATCTCTCGCTCACCGACGTGCCGCTTGTCGAGCTTCAAAGCCATGCGCTGCAGCAAGCGTTGCAGCAGCTTCACGAGATCCACGACATGATCGTCGCCAACGACAAGGTGCTCTCGAACGTCCAAAACAGCGGAGGTCTCGAGCCTGCGGCGCTCGCAGCGCTCACCGACGAGTGGCGCGCTGCCACCGAGGCGATCGCGGCCAAGTGCAGCCGGTACTTTGAGTGCGTCCCGCGGGACGATGCGACGGCCGCGACGGAGCTCGCCGCTTTTCTCGACGTGGCCAGTGTTCAAAAGGAGATGTCGCGTGTGCGTCAGCTCATTGAAATCGCGGGGACGAGTAAGATTGTGCTTGGCGCCAAGGCCCGGGCGCACGAGCGCCACCCGCTCGACTACTGCTACGACGCGCTCCAGGTGCAGCTGCGGCAAAGCTCCGTGGCCGAGGTCGACGCAGTCCGCAAGTATTATGTGCAAGGCCATTGCAAGAGCGGCTACAGCGTGGCCAATGTCTTTACGCTCGACCGGCGCGACGAGCTCGACCGCGACGCCGACACGGACGTGCCGGGCCACCGGACGCTCTTGTGGCACGGCACGAAGCGAACGAACCTCATGAGCATCCTGCACCGCGGGCTCTGCATTGCGCCGGCCGATGCGCCGCGCACGGGCCTTGCGTTCGGGAAAGGCGTCTACTTTGCCGACGCGGCCGCCAAGAGCCTGCAGTACTGCACGCCGTTTACGACCGCGGACAAGAAGAAGACCAAGGTGTACCTCCTCCTCTGCGACGTGGCGCTCGGGACGCCGCACCGCGTCCAGCGCTCCGAGTACCGCGAGTCGGCGGCCGACGGCACCCATAGCACGTTTGCCGTCGGGAGCACGCAACCGGATCCGAGCGAGACGCTGGTCGTCGCGGCTACGGGACGCAGCAAGGTGCCGCTGGGTGACCTCAAGGTGCTCGGAACAGACTTGCCGCGGTCGTTCGTGTGGTATGCCAAGCAGCCCAAGAACGAAAACGACCGGTACTTCTCGAACCGGACGACGCTGTGTGGGGATACGGCTGCCCTGCTCGAGCGCTTTGCGCAAGGCACCGAGTCGCACCTTGACGTGACCGAGCCGAGTGAGCTCCTCGAGGGTCTGCTGGTGTATTACAACTACTATGGCCAGTTCAAGACGCCGACCAAGGTCTCGGTCGATGCTGTCGCGCGCCAGCGGTGGGTCTCTGGCGCCCTCCACGAGGCCCACTTGCGCCTCACGGTGCACTTCACCGCCGACGAAGATACGTTTTCGTTCGACGCCATCGGACGCACCGATGTCTTCGACGACGCCGAGGCGCCAACCGGGTACAGCTTGCAGATGGACACGTCGTCGCTGTCGTACAGCGAGTTCATCGTGTACAAAGAGCGCCAAGTGCGCATGCGCTACCTGGTCGAGCTCGAGCTCGAGACAAAGTAGAGTCGTATCGCCTTGTACATTGTTTGTGAATCTCCTCATTTGTACGTGCCTTATCCACTGCTACTTGGCATCATTAGAGCAAGCATGCAAGGATCTCTAGCCGAGAGTCGATTGCGACGAGACGCAGACCACCGGGTTCGGGACACCAAGCACGGGGTAATGCCAAATGACCATGTCTTGTACGACAAGGTTGCGCGTCGCTGCCTCCGCTGCCAGTGGCGCCCAGTTTGGGTCGAGCCACAGCGTGACGCGGGTGCACGTGGTGAGAGCGTCGAGCAGAGCCACGTAGCCTTCCTCGCCAATGTGGTTTTGCGTGAGGTCGAAGCGACAGCCCGTGGGACTGCTGGCGCCACATAGCGCCACCGCCAGTGACGACGCTTCTTTATTGCCGATCGCGTGGTTGACAAGGTCCACCTCCCGGACGCCTTGGCCGACCCACTGGCTCCCAAACGTCACAAAAGCGTCGACAATGACAGGCGCGCAACTCGTGCTATCGCTCCACGTCAGAGTCTCGAGCACCGGCGAATGGGAGATGCAAGCGACGAGCGCATCCAGTGAAGCGAGGAAAAAGCCCACATTGATAAATGCAACACGCCGTAGCGCAGTCGAAATGACGGCGGGCGGCGGCTCGACGTGCACAATGTGCGCATTGCACACCTCGAGCTCTTGGAGTAGGGGAAGGGCAGAAAAAATGTCGCTGAAGTCGACGCTGACGACGCTGTCGCACGCAAAGGAAATCGAGACGAGCGAGCCAAGGTAGAGGCGCCCAAAAAGCCAACTTGTAAAGAGCCCGTCGGTCGAGAAGTCGAGGACGCGCACCTTCGTGACGTTTTCCAAACGCGGCTCGGCGTCCTGCACGGGTGGCATAGACCAGATCGTCAAGTCCAGGCTTGAGAGCGAGCTGGCGTCGGCGAGCACGCGGGCCACGTCGCGGCCGTCTTCGTCGGCATCGGCAAAGCCCAGGTGGCTCGCATACCCTGAACGCAGCCAAGGTCGCAGGCGCTCCGCCCACTCGACCTCAGCATCGTGCCGGTAGGTCGTCTTGATGTCAAGGTGACGAACGCAGTGCCCCGCCGAGGTCACGGCAGCGACCAAATCCTTGTCATGGACGTTCTCGACGCGAACAACCTCGAGGCGTGTGCAGCGCTCAAGCAGGGCGATGAGAATGGGCAGGTCAGCTTCCACGGAAACATGGCACAGCCTGAGATGCGTGAGCTTCTCGCCCCACGCATCGACGAGTTGGGCAAAGTCGTCAAGAGATCGTGGGTCTCCGAGCCACCACGTGTACGGGTTGTCAACTTGAAGCGCGGGGAACACTGGCATCGCGTCCAGCACCAGACTTTTCGCAACTATAAGACAAAGTCGAGTCTCAAAAGAGGCCAAAGCGAGTTCAGCGCTCCTTCGTAGTCTTGCTGGTACATGGCGGCCAGCGGATTCGAAAGCAACTGCCGGAGCGCGGTCAGCGGCGTGGGCAGCGTGGGAAAGGCCGAGAGAAAGGTCAAGACATCGCGTGGCGCGGCAATGCATTGGGCGATGCACTGAAGCGCGGGGTCCAAGTCGAAAACGCGCGCAACGATCTTCTTGCTCATCGATCGACGGTCGTGAAGGGGGAGTACCAAATGAAGTGCCTTTCGCAAGGGATGCTACGGTCTGAACGGCCACATCGCAACAGGACATTCCGAATCGTCAAACGGGACGAGCGACAGGTCCGATTGCACCCTCTTATATTTCGGAACGCGTCGGACTATAAAACATGTTCACTGTCCATGCCATCGACAGCTCATCGCGCGGTAAAACTCCGGAGGTGTTATACATGTATAGTAGAGGTGTTGACAGGCGCGCGGCAGTACCGGTAGCGTCGCCTGACGACGGTGCGCTTCGAAAGATCTGGTGCCTGCGCGGTGATTGGTCGTTCGAAAAGAGATGCTGTTTTTCATTGGCTAATTTTACTGCCGGCTTCCCTCCGAAAAGCAACTTCAGATTTGGCCATGGTCGAGACCAAGCTCGTGGTCGCAGGCGCCCTCGCGGTCCCGACGCTCTACTTCGCCTCGGTGCTTCTTCGCGCGATCGCGTCCGTCTCGCTCTCGGAAGGCTGGAACCACATCCTTGCCAACGTATGGGCGACGAGCGGCCTCCTCGACTACGTCATCGGGCTGCTCTTCGCGGCGCCGTACTTTTGGCTGCGGGCGCCCAGCCTCCCGACCAAGCTCGTGGTCGTCACCGGCGTCTGCTTCCTCGGCAACGTCTTTAGCGTCGCAGTCTTCATCGCCTACATCGTCCGCGGCCATGGCACTCTGCGCGAAGCACTCCTGCCGCTGCGCAAAGCGTCGCCGCCGATGGATAGCGCGGCGCCGTCCCGCCTCGCGTTCATTGTCGCGGCCTTGGCCTCGATGGTCTTTTTTGTTGGCTACTGCGTCTACTGCGTGAGCGTGCAGCCCATTTCGGTCGGCTGGGCGTACATCAAGGCCGACACGTGGTCCTACGTGACTGTCATTGACGTCTGGACCGGCATTTGCATGGTCGTCACGTACGTCGTCGTGCGCGAGTTCCACGACGCCAAGCTCTTTTGCTCGCTCCTCGTCGTCGCGCTCATCTTTCTTGGCAACGGCGCGACGTGTTTTTACCTCTTGTACTTGGCGCTGGTTCGATTCCCGCGAGGAAGCCTTCGCGACATTTTTCTCCTAAACGAACACATCCTCACGGAAGACGCGCCGCTGAAGCGCCCCGAGGTTTCTTTGAGCTAGGATTTGTCATTCACTTACGTAAGCAAATCTATAAGTCTTTAACATCCGCCTCCAAATCTACGAACCCCCAACGCTTTGGCAACATGACGTCAGAATACGACCAGTGCTACGTCGGGTCACCATGTGTGAACTCAATACGACATAAAGTCGTGAGCCTTGGATACGACGTACGTCGTGTGTCTGGATAGTACGTTGTGAGGTTTGGATACGACACAGTGCATCCCTGGAATATGGGTACAGTACAGTACATGATATCTGTCGTGAGAAAACAGTACATGTACACGATGAATGTCGCGAGAAAATTACAATTAATACAATTTGTACGTCGGCAGCACCGGCACAGAGCGCTTTCTTGGAGGAGGTCACTCCTTCGTTTTCAAAGCTGTCAACTCCCACCGAGACAATGTCGGCGATGAGGAGTTTGATGAGGTCTCGTCCGCGCGCTCTGCCGCCAGCGTACAATGTGAGACAAACCAGCAACACTCTGACACAAACATTCGTCGTTGCCATTCGCCAGCAGCAACCAGAGACCGTTTGAGCGCGTTGCAGTGAAGTAGTGTGTCCTCGAAGGAGAAGATGGCCACGGAGACGAAAGATAGCGACGGCGTCGATCTGCTTCCGGTCGACGTCAATGCTCTCATGGAGGGCTTGGACCGACAAGCCCGCGCGCGCCTCCAGAACCGAGCCAAACAAGCTCGGTTTCGCGCCCGCCGCCGCGCCGAACGCATTGCGCTGCGCGCGCAGAAAGACGCCCTTCAGCCGCTGCCATGGCACGATGTGGCCAACGCGTTGGCAGCATCTGCGACGGACGCGGCCCACGAGAACGAGCGCCTCAAGCAGCGCCGCGCTGCCAACCTCGCGCTCGTGCAAGCCATGACCAAATGGATCGCGACCCTGCTTCCGCGGTCGCCGGTGCGTGCGAGCTCTCTCGTCCTTCGATGCAGCAAATACCAATGATACAATCTGCTAGCGGCACACGGCGGCGTATACAAGTGTCTTACGCGAAGGCGCGGCGCGGCAAGCCAGCTTTGACTGGCTCACAAAGCGCCTGTACATCGACACGGACCGCGCGTTGTCGGCTCCGGCCTTCCCAACGTCAAGTGGCTTCTTGAATGCCTTTTCAATCTACGACGAGAACGAAGTCGAGGATGATGACGGGTGCGTCCATGCGTGCTGGAGCTTCCAGCGCTTCTACGACCGTTCGCTGCACGACGTCGCGACGAAGCTGCCGTTTCCGCTCGTGGCCGTGTGTCCGCAGCGGCGGTCCGTCTCGTTTCTCGACCAAGAGGTAATACGGTGATTCGCCACTGCGGGAGCTGTACACTGCCGATAAGATCTTGGATTCGATTGCGCCCGGAAGCATGTGCTACCGCCGCGCCGTGCTCAACGACGGCGAAACCATCAACCTCGTCGGGCGCATCTTTCGCGAAGCATCCCGCGTCGTGTTCGTCTTGTGTAACATCATTGATGACCCGACGCTTCTGCGCGACGAGTACTACCGCCACCGCCTCTTCTGGTATCGTCCTGTTAGGTAGACTGCTCTCTTCATTGCGCATGGATAGGTATGTGGCCGAGGCCATATCGCCGCACGAAACGCGTGTTCGCGCCCGGTGGTTCAACTCCCAGTATTTCACCAAAGACAGACACCCCGTGGGCTTTGCCAACGAGATGGCGGATGCGATCGACCCAAGCGCCATCGCGGCCAACCAAGGTCATCGCCCAGCGACGCGAGCGGAGTACAAGGCGTGGCTAGCATCGACGCATGCAATGCCAGATGCGTACTGGCGCAATCTCTCTCAGCTCGAGGCGCCGCGGCCCGATGCACAACAGTTTGTCGACTGGCGCCAAGGCTAGGATGTCGAGTCTGCCAACAAGTTCAAATGGAGTTGATTGTGCTGGCCGCTTCGAGTAGCATACCGTTCCAAGCAGCACATAGATATACAGCGCAGCGCTCGTTGCTATCTCTTGACGAGTGAATGACAATGTTCCATCGAGCAAGCCAAGCCGCGCAATCGTTTTCGTGTTAAGTTAGGCCTCGGAGCTCAAGCCGGGCGCGTCGCAGTATGTGAGCGCGTGGCGAGGCACAGCATAGCCCGAGAGCTGGACTGCGGTCGTGCCAGCGCGCAGTGGGTTGGCGAGCGCTACTTGGGCGAGGTATGCGAGCGTGAGGCAGTGGTGTGCCTGGATGAAGCGGATCAAGATCGTTTGCTGCAGCACGTAGAGCCGCGCGAGCAGACTGTTGGCGACGACGCAGAACGGAATGAAGAACGTCATGGCGAACTGCGCCGCGAGTGCGCGGTACGCCTTCTTCTCGGCCTCCATCGCGCTCACAATCGTCTGGATGTGGGCCTGCAGCTGCCGCAACGCGTCGTCCAGGTCCGTCTTGAGCTCGCCGTTGAGCACCTTCCACGCCACATGGTGCAAGCCTTCCTTGACCTGCAGCGTCGACAAGAGGCTCTGAATCTTGGCAACAAGCGCTTGGAGCTCGTCCTTCTTGAGCGTGCGATGCGTGCGCTTGACCTACTCGTGCAGGGCGATGAAGGTTTTCGTGTGGGTGGCGATTGCATACCTGGACGAGGTACTGAAAGTACTGCGCTCTACGGTGCTGGCTCGTGTTCTTGTAGATGATCTTGCGCAGCAGTAGCAGCTCTTCATGCAGCAGGTCGACCG